GCAGGCCCCCTGCTCCCCGCCAGGCTGCAGGCGCCGGGCCTGGGCCGTCAGCGCAGCTGTGACCCGAGCGCCTTCCGGAAGGCGAGCTGGGAGTGCGTCCGGACCCCCGTCCCCGGGACCATGGGGAATGGCATGACCAAGGTAGGGGGGCGGGGACCGCACAGCCCTCACCTGGCCGCCCCAGCCGGGCCGGCGGTGGCCCTGGGCTGATGAGGTCGGTCTGCCCGCCTCTGACCTTCTGGGTCTCGCTGAGCCTCCCTCTGGTCACATCTGCATCCCCTGGGACTCTGAGACCCTGCCTGTCTGCGCCTGTCTCTGTCTCTGCCTGTCTCTGTCCTCTGGGACAAGCAAGACACCCCTGCCTTGCTGTGTCTTGCTGTGGCTCTGTCACTCCCAGGCTTGATCTCTCAGTGAGTCCATGTGTCTGTCTCTGTGGACTTGGCGATTTCTCCATCCTCTCCCCACTGCCCTTTCAGGACTCCTCCACCTGCCGGCCCTCCTGCCTGGGAACTCCCACCACCCCCTGCACGTCCACCTGCGTCCTGCCCCTTTCCTCTCTGCATCTCCTACCCTCTCCTTCCCCCTGGTCTTTCTGCCCTTCCCTCCACTGCCCCCTTCAGCCTCCTGCCTCTTCCCTCTGACCGCGGAGATTCCCTCACAGAGGGCCCAGGCCCCGTAAGAGAGGAATTGTCCTGTGCCTCCTGAGGTCCAGGCACCCTTCCTGGGACAGAGTGGGACTGTGGGCTCCCTAGAGGGCAAGGGTGGGAAAGGGGTGTAGCCCCTGCCCTGCTGACCCCTGCCTGTCCTTTCTATAGGTACTTCCTGGACTCTACCTCGGAAACTTCATTGGTGAGCACTGTCCACTCTGTCCCAAGGCGGTGGCACCCTGCCTTCCCAGGCCAGTGTCCACCATTCATGCCCTGGCCCACACACCTTGGACACCACACTCAGGAATGGAGACGGGGGCAGGGAAGCCATGCCAGGCTGGGAGGAGAAAGGGGAGGCTCGTGGCAGGTTGGGAATACATGGCTGTGTGTGCTGGGGGGGTCCCCAGGCCTTAAGCTGCGTGGAGGGAGCATTGGCGGTCTGACAATGACATCTCCCCATTCAACCTTCCACCAGTGTTCCACCAAGAGTTTAAAGGGACAGTGCAAACAGCTCAGGACCTCAGCCATAGACCTGCTGTGAGCAGCAGCTTCTCTTCCTTCGTACAAAAGGCACCAGCCTCTGAGGGCTCTTCTGGCCCTGAGGTTCTGGACTGTGGTCTGTCTTCGGGTACTGCTTCTAACTGGGAAGCTGGAAATCCTTTCCTCCACAAGCTCCTTGGAGAGGAGAGGTCTCCAAAGTCTGGGCTGGGCCCTTGAGTTAGCAAGGTCCTGAGCACTGACTATCGCCCACCTGGGCAGGGGGGCCAGGAGCCAGGGGGCTGGAGATCCATGAGCTTTTGCATCCCGCAGTCTCGTCCATCCCTCCCACATCTTCAGCTGGAGACAGGAGGGCACAGATGAATAGACACCCCGACCCTGCCCTCGACAGCTTCCAGGCTGATGGTGGGGCGGCAGATCCGAACACAGACCTCTGGCTGCAGGGTAGAAAGCATTCTAAGAGACAGGCTGGGGTGGGCTTGAGGGACCCAAGCGGGAAAAGTCACTTCCATCTGCTGTCCGAGAGTACTTCCAAGAGGAAGGGGCTCAGGTGCTCCACCCTCATAAGCTCTGGCCAAGCAAGGGCGGAATTCTCTTTTAAGTATATAGGAGCCATAGAGGGGCCATGAAATGGCCCCCAGACCCCCAGAACCCAGCCAAAGGCTACACCTAGTAAGCTCTCAGTAAATGTTTGTTGAATGAACAAGTGGACCTATGAAGACAGAGCAGCTACGTTATTTATTCTAATTATAAAAGGTTGCATACACTGAATACCCAGTGCCTAGAGATGACCACTAATAGCAACGTGGGCCATTTTTCAGGTATTTTTGCAGATACAAATATAATATTTAAAATGAAAATGGAAATGTATTATACATGCTGTTCTGGAAGCTGGGCTTCACACTTACAAATGCATTATGGACACACCTTGTACATCACACACAGAGATGTTTTCATGGCTGTACGGTATTCCAAAGTGCAGATACACTGTGATTTATCCAGGCCCTTTGGGAGAGGCATTGGGCTGCTCTTCCCCCCTTTTTTTTAACCTATTTCTGATAAAAAGTAGTACTGCAGAGAGCTTCATCCTCCATGCTTAGCTTTCTGAGAGAGCAAGTGCATTTGTAGACAAGATTTCTAGAAGCAGACTTGCTAGGTCAGACAATAGGCTAGGGAGGGGTGTTTAGGACGGAAAGAACAGTGTGAGCAAGGCCAGGGAGTTGCTGGACTGCTACTTGTGGGTGCCCTAGAGGGCAAGGCTGAAGCCTGAGATGTGGCAGGAGCTATCATGCTCAGGCAGGAGGTGAGGAAGGAGCAGAGAGCTGGCCGAGGGTGGACCAATGTGAGAGTGGGAGGGGTGAGGAGGAGAACTGGGCAGCCAGTTCCCTCACACGTGGCCATCAGGAACAAATCAGGCACACCTGCTGGGTTGGCCCAAGCATCCTATTTCTTTCAGATGCCAAAGACCCGGATCAACTAGGCCGGAATAAGATCACACACATCATCTCCATCCATGAGTCACCTCAGCCTCTACTGCAGGTACTCCTCACCCCCTCTCGGGCTGTGCCTAGGTGGGCAGGGTGGGCCACAGACCTATTACAAGCATCTGCTATGTGCTAGGTCCGTGGCTACTACCTGACCCAAGCTAACTCTCTCACTGGACCAAGCCTACTTGGCAACTGAGACCCAGAGAGGTAAATTAGCTTATGTAAGATCACACAGCCAAGAAGCTGAGGAGCTGGGATTTGAGGAGCTGGCCCTCTAGCCCCAGAGGAGGGCCCCCACAGGGGCTTCCCATTGCCCATATGGATGCATGACTCCAGTGGGTGACAGGGCACTGTCTTGCTGTGCCACTTTGGACTGGGACCTCATCTCTTTGGGCCTTTCATCCCTAGTCTTGTCTGCCCCCAGGGAGCTGTTGTGAGGATGCAAAGGGACTACAGGGTAGTGAAGATGCTGTGCACACTAGAAAGCATAGTCCCCACTGGAGGAGTTGGTGCTAGATCGCCGAGTCCCAGGAAAAGAGGGTGACGGTGTTAGGACCCAGACGAGGAAAGTAGGAAATCCGGACCACACCTGCTAGATTCAGGAGGCTTCACCTCTTCACCAGCTTCTGCCTTTACAGGTGGGCTCACATCTCCAGCATTCTCTCTGTGACCTTGGGTATAGGACTTCACCCCTCTGAGCCTTGGTTGCCTTATCTGTAAAACGGGAATTTTATAAGAGTACCCAACTCATTGAGTTGTTTAGAGCCACAGGATAGGTACTCAGCAGATCACTTTTGATATAGTAACAAAGTTCATAATAGTCTTAGCCTGTAGACAGAGCCCTCTCTTCCTTATCTGTTAGTCTAAGTGCCATCCACTGGAGAGAAAGAACTACGGGTCGGAAAGGCTCTAGAGACCTGAGGTGGAGACCAGGTTCTGTTAGACATGCTGGGTGACCTTGGGCAGGACGCTTTCCCTGTCTAGGCCTCAGTTTCCCACATACCAGATTTGTTGATCTCTAAGAGCAACCTCTGGGGACCAGCAGGTGGCGTTGTGGTTAAGGCACTGGACACTCCCACGTAGCCGATTACAGTTCGAGTCCTGGACCTGGTGGCTTGCTTTCTCACTTTCTCTCTCTCTCTGTGTCTCTCTCTGGTCAAATGAAAATAAATGAATGAATAAATCAAATAAAATAAAGTCTTAAAAAAAAAAAAAGAGCAACCTTCAACAATCTGGGATTCTCAATGTCATTCAAAGGAGAAACTTCCAGGTCATTGGAGTCTGATTTTGCTTTATCAGACAGTCTTGTTTTGAAGTATTTGGATAAAATAGTCACCAGATTTCATGGGGAGACTGTCAAGTCAGGAATATATTTACTAATGACATGACTGCTTACAAAATGAGCCCTGTCCCAACCGCCCTCCCCTCTTCTCACAAACATCCCTCTCTCCCCTTCCTCCCTCCCCACATCACCAGTCAGGGCTTGATAATACCGTGCAAACCAAGGCTAAAGTGAAATTGCAAACCTTGCCAAAAAGGCAGGATGGTATGACCTTAGGAAAAATGAGTTAGAAAAGGACTGGAATCTCACATAAAACCGTGAGCAAATGAGGACCTGCCAGTGTCTCATCCACCAGCCACTAGTGGGCCAGAAAGAGTCACTTCAGTATCAAAGTACTAAGGGAGGTCTTTGAGAAAAGCGATGAGGTCCTCAGAACATAGGCAAAAAATTATCTTTTTTTTTTTTTTAAGTGGATTTAGTTCAAGAGAGAGAGAGAGACAGAGACAAAGAGAGAGCACATCCAACAGGGTCTTTATGCCACAATCCACCCCCAGTTTCAGCCAGCCTGGATCTGGGACACGTTCACACCTAACAGGCTCAGGGAGGTCCCAGGATGTGAACCCAGGACCCTTCCTATGTAGGTCCAGTCTCATGACTGTTGTGCCACCACCTAGTCTCCCCAGAAATGTTTTCAATATTATGTGGAAGTTAAGCATGAAGCAAAGGATGTTATTACAAATTTGTTGGAAGAATTGCTACTATTTATTCTTCGATTATCCTGTTTTTCTTTTTTCATGAAAGAGAGAGAGAGAGAGAAAGAGATAGGCATTTGGCAGTGCCTTGCCACGTCACACTCCCTCCTGTCCAGCCCCCCAGTTAGCTAGGACCATCAAGCACTTCGGCCCCTGGCTGCTTAGGCTAGGCCAGGGCCTGAATCTGGGCTTCCCATGCAGCCTTGGCCATTGTGAAGCGATGCCCTCTCATTGGCACCACCGTGGCTGGGCCCATTCCTTGATTATTCTAATAATTAGTGCATAATTTTATAACTATAATTCTTGAAGTGTGAAATTATTTTCATAATTTTTATTTCTTTTCAAGATACTCGAATTTGCTTTACTCTTTTTACTAAGTGATTTGGTAATCCCATTTGGAAGGAAGTCGTTTTCAATACTCCTTTCCTGACTATTAGATAAAGGGCCACTGTGTGGTGTCTATTTTAGTAAATCTTGGGTCCAAGTCGCTTATGAGCTTAGGACACCATCCACCCAGAAGGAGCTAGAACCCAGAAGGTTCTGATCACAGGTGGGCAGGGCCAGGAGGCCCTCAGAAATGGTGTTTATTTTCTTTGGACAGAGAAGACAGCAGTGGCCCAGACAGGGGTAGAACCTAGGCCGGGGTCACTCAGTGCTTGGGCAGTTCAAGCCAGTGGCGCAGGGTTGCAGGCAGAGCCCCATTGCCTGCGTGTGTTTTGTCCCTGCAGGATATCACCTACCTTCGCATCTCCGTGGCCGATGCCCCTGAGGTACCCATGTAAGTTCCTCTGGATGGACCCACAGATGGACAGACAGCTACCTCCTATGGTGGAGGGGAGGGGAAAGGGCATAAGGGAGGACAGAGAATGCTCAGGCCATAAAGCTGTCACAGGTGGACACCCAGACCCAGGTTTGACTCCATCTCAACCATAGCCATGCAGTATGCCCATGTTCACAATTCTTGATCTCCCTGAGCCTCAGTCTCCTCAGCTATGAAATGGAGAACGTACCCTGTCTCTTGGGATCAGATGCGCCAGCAGGTTGGAAAGGGCTGGCCTCAGCCTGATCCATCTTTGAAGTTAAGACAGCTCATTCCTGGCCAGGCTTTGCCGTGTGCTTGCTTTGTGACCTTGGACAGATCACTTCCCCTCTTGGAGGCTCATCTGTAAAACAAGGGTGTGATCAGAGCCAAGGAGACTTTCACAGATCAGATGACATGGACAGGGATCCCTGGGATCACATGACATGGTTGAGGATCTAGGAAAGGGCCTGGCATGTAATGGGAGCTCAGAGAGCAGGATTTTTGTGCTATTAGCAGTAGCCTTCAACTTGAGACCAGCCCAGACACCTCCTGCTCCCTGGGAATCTTGCCCCTGGCCTATTGCAGACCATCGTTGTTCCCAGTTGCTCCAATTACAGACCCCAGAGTGGGACCCTGTGTCTCCTCCCATCTGTTTTTGTGCAAGGCCAAGATAAACCCTCTGTGAAAATAAGATCCTCAAGACCTACTGGAGAGTTGTGCCTGCCCAGATGGTGGGAGTTGCTTTTACTGGCCTCTCTCATGGCCTGAAATGCCACCATTCTTGCTTCACACACACCCCCACCTGGTACCATGGTCCTGGCTCCTATTCCTTGCGTATGCTGGCTGATCCCAGGGTTCCAGGGCACTTTGACCACTCCTAAGAGACCTTCCTCCCAGTGCTCCCTACCCTGTTGCTTTTTTCTCTAGCAAAAAACACTTCAAAGAATGTATCAACTTCATCCACTGTTGCCGCCTCAATGGGGGAAACTGCCTTGTGCACTGGTGAGTTAAGAGGGAAGTGGGAGTGTGTGGCCTAGTGGTGAAGGGGGAGCCAGATCCCACATGGCCAACTACAGTTTGAATCCTGGCTCTGGCATTGTGAAAAATATGCTGGGTGCATGTGCATGCATGCCTAAAATTTTGATAGGATGAATAAATAGATAAGGGTTTGCGGTGTGACCATGCCTCGTGGGAGGGTGCTTTCTTCCTCTCCCTCTCTGTCTCTCTGTGTTTCTCCAGCAACTAAAGAAAAAAAAAAAGGTGAGGAGAGGTGGGGGAAGTGGAGGGAGAGGAAGTAAGCAGCAGCTTCCTCTGGCCTGAGCACGCACTCATCCTATGGGGAAGGCAGAACCTGTGAGCCATCTTCTCCAGCCTGTGGCCACACCTGGCAGACCACCGTTCACTTGGGAGAGGCTGGCTGGAAACTTGAATCCGGACTAAATTCCTTACCAGCTATGTGACCATAGCCGTTTCTCCCCAAGACTCAGTTTCTTCATCGCAAAAGGAGGGAAAGAATGCTGACCTGACTGGGCTGGTGGAAGGGAAAGACGGGTAGCCCTGTACCCTAGGATGGTGCTGGGCCT